TGGATGGGGCTTGGAGCAACCTGGGCTGGTGGGAGGTGTCCCTGCCCATGCAGAGGGGTGGATCTACATGATCTTTACAGTTTCTTCTAACTCAAACCATTCTATTTTATTATAACAACATTAACAGTCATTTGTGCCCCTGGCAGCATCTCAGCTCAATACACACCAGACCTAAACATCAGGATAACCATCAAAACCAGCTCTACAATGTGCAGAAATTTATTTAAGTCCCAAATTAAACTCCAAGCCATGATCTCACAACCGGTAGCTCATATGAAAAGTGGAACAGACTCCTCTAGTAGAGTCCCAATGACTCTGGAGGGAAACATGGCTCAGCGTTTTATCTCCTTCCCATTTGCCATGGCTGCTCTTTTCCTGGTCTCCCTTTTCAGTGGAGTAAACCAGAGGAGCTGTAGAGAATATCTATCAGAGGAGTCTACATTTTAAGATGAATCCTTCCATTTTCAGGAAAAGGAGAGATTAACTTAAGCTCTTTAGTAGAGAGGCAGCCTGTCTTCAGATCTGTGCATGGGATTGGATCCTAATCCAATTAATTTTGGGGCAGAACAACTGGAGTTCTGTACCTGATTAGCCCATCTTCTGCTGCACTCCAGAAGGTGTTGGGCCACATGGGAGCCGTGGCAATCCTCTTAACTCTGTTGGTGTGATCTCCAAACATGTGGATGGTCTCCTTGACAGTCAAGTCATGGACATGCACCTTGGAATCTGCAGCTCCCGTGATGAGGATCCGATCCCCCGAGTGCGGCAAGAACTGTGGGACACAGATTTGGCACTCAAAGTGGGGAAGTGCTGGGGCTGCTCACACACAGCAGCACTGAGCTGTTCCCAAAACAAGCTGCAGGAACATGGGATGGTCCATGTTTCTACCCATGTGACACAAAAACACCAGTGTGCCCACCAAAGAGTCACCCAAAACAGTCTCCTCACCACATGTCCTAGTCTGGTACAACCAATTCCTTCAAATTTACAGAGAGAATGAGATGGGAGCTGCATAAACTCAGAAGTGCAGGAATTTGATTTAATGCCACTTTTTCCCCCCTAACATTACTGGGGGGGGGAAATCACTTGCAGGAAAATGTTTCCCAACAAGCATCTATTCTCCTGCTGCTTAGGTTGCTGATTTTGGTAACTGTTCATTCCTTCTAACCATCTATACCTTGACAGAAAAGATGTTTGCAGTATGTCCTGTGTGCATAGAAAGCAGTTTCTTGTGGTGCAGAGGATCCCAGACAATGGTATGCTGGTCATCAGAGCCAGAGGCCAACAAACTAAAAGAAACAGAAGAGAAATATGCAGCATTTATTCTTCTGTTCTAAACTGTGACCAATTCCTTAGAGCGGTTTGACCACAGACAGCCCTGAAGTTAATTCAGCTCTACCAAGCCCACTTCCTCTCTCTTTTCTCAGCTCTGTGTTCCTGTTGCTCCCCCTGGACCAATCCATTCAGCCAGTTCAGGGAGCTAAACCAGCCAAAGATCAACTCCATGCAAAATAAAGCCAGTGGGTTGTGTTGGTTTAGCTCATTGAACCAACTCACCACAGGCTCAGATGGAAAAGGGGAAAACAATAGGAGCACTTGGTCAACAATAACACACAGGGCCTCCATCTTCCTCATTAGCCTGGCTGAATTAACTGCTCCACATCATTCCCAAGCCAAGGCACTCATTCCTGGACTTCGGATGTGCCCAAGCATTCCCAAGCCAGTGCTCACTTAGTGATCCCCAGATTGCTGCTGAAGTGCAGGGTGTGGTGGTGGCATTGCAAGGAGCTGTTTGCCTTGCACATGTATCTGCACTGGAAAGGAAAGAATTTGACATCTGCAACTACCAGCTCTTTTCAACTCATTTCCTTGTAGCCAGATCTCTTTCAAGTGCATGAAATTTGCAGTGGTAAATAATTCTGAAGAGTATCAGACAGCAGACTTTGAATCTTGGAAGAGGCATGTCAAGAAATATATGCTCTTCCTTCCATCCAGTAACTTCTCATGTGGATTTTCTTTATTCCACTTGCTTAATGGAAATGCTCAGATGTTGAGTTTCCCTCTAAAATTGCAGGGAGGTGTTAACCCCCTCCCTCCCTTATCTATTTGTCCCCCAGCAGATGCTTTTAACAGTGTGGAGAAGGGGGTGGGGAGATGTCAGTAGCAGCTGGCCAAATCCTAAAGATCCATGATAATCCATAATACCACTTAGGAGAAGAGAAGCAGCCTTCAATCTCCACTTCTTAGTCTGACCATTTCCCTTCTGAACTCACTAAAGGGGCATTTCTAATAATATCCAGATATATTTAACAAAATTAAGCTGCTTTTGAAACGTGAGCTCTATCACAGTTCAAAACTTGGGAGCTCCAGCTCCACTTGACTAGGAATGCGGAGCAGCTCCTTATAAAATGACCCCCCATACTGCTCCTGGGAGAACCTGGGGTGATCAGACTGTTGATCCCCCAAATCAACCCAAATACTTACTCTCCTTTTTCATTCCATTCCAGACAGTTGACACACCCAGAGTGACCCTGAGGGGTGAAAAAAAAAAACAAAAAAGAGGAAGATGCTGTTACACAAACTTCAGACTTATCAAACTGAGCTGTTCTCAGGCAAGGACACACTGTGCTCCCCACACTTGTTCCAACACAAGCAGGGGTTTTTTTCTTCCAACCCTGCAAAATAAAAAACCCCACCCACATGGCAGTTAGGCACCTCCAGAAAAGACAAGACATGCTCTAGCATTTGGGGTAGAACAGGCAAAATGAAGCAAATAATAAAAAATCAAAATGAAGTGTTGAATAAAGTGGCAGTTTAGCCTCACAGGCTACAGATGAAATCCTGCTGCACAGGTAGGAAGGTGACTTTGCTTGCAGAGCCTGTGGCTAAGCTGACAAATTACACGTACAGGTTCTCTGGGAACACAGGGAAAATGCACTTTCGAGAGCTCTTTTTGAAGCACCTTGCTGCTGGGTGACTGCATCATCCATCTTCATCCAAATTAACCAACAACTGCAACAGGAAAGACCAAGGGAGCACAGAGTAGGATTTGATGGGGGAGATGGGACTGAAAAGGGGGACAAACAAATCTTTTCCTCCCCCAAACCAAGACAATCTCAAGATCTTTTGAAGCTGGGTTAAGCTGTAATACAACCATGTTTTTTCTAGGCAACAAATCACACTTTTCAGCACCAGCTGAGTGTCTTGAGCAGGTGAGAGTCACCTTCTTCAGCCACCACTGCTGGGATGAGCTGACCCACACCCCTGAAATGCTCTCTTGCAGGTGCATTAGGTAACACAGAAGCTAACACAGGATCTCACTGAGCTATTCCTGGCTCTAATACAGTTTAGGGGACTAAATCAGTATCTATGCCATCCAAGAGAGAATCCCACATGCTCCCCCATGCTGTCCTTTCTCCTGCAATCTCAGCTGGCTCTTTAACAAGTGCCCAATTACCTGCAATTCTGCTTCCAGGCCCAGGCGTCGGATGAAGGGATCAGTGACATGATAGTGTCGCTCGAAGCCCAGAGCACCCCTCTCCTGCAGGAAGCAAACAAGCACCAAGCTGACTCCAGCAAACAAAACAAGTCTTTTTTCTTTTTTTTTTTCCTTTAAGAGAAGAGTCAAGACCTTTAACAATCAAGCAGGGACCTTGCCAGGTAGTGGGGTTTCCATATCATCAGGTACCTGTCCTGAAGACATCGCTTGCGCCATCTCCAGGTTGACAGGTTTGTCATTTCTGCCCCTGAATTGGGTTAAAATGATGTTTATCTAATTGTCAGGCTCAAGCTGAACAGCCAAGATGAGATTTGAAAGAACTACACTAATAGAGAAGACATTGCCTACTTTGGGCCAGAAACAGAAGATCCAGAAGAGGTTTGGAATCCCTGTCATTACCCATTGGAAAGGATTTCGTAGAATCATGGAATGGTTTGGGTTGGAAGGGACCTTAGAAATCATCCAGTCCCATCCCCTGCATGGGCAGGGACACCTCCCACCAGCCCAGGTTGCTCCAAGCCCCATCCAACCTGCCCTTCAACACTGCCAGGGATGGGGCAGCCACAGCTTCTCTGGGCAACCTGTTCCAGAGTCTCACCACCCTCACCGGGAAGAATTCTAGAAGGACCTCATTCCCAACGACTCCAGCACCAGACCACAGCTGCTTAGGAGAGCTCTGCCATCACACAGAATCCATCCTGAAGCAGCACCACCAACCCAGGGCAAAGAATTGGGGGGTGTAACTGGACAGCATCCTTTTGGGATGGCTTTATTTCATCAGAAGTGGAGTAGGAGATGTAGCTGCAGCACCACAGCACAGCGTGTTCCACAGGGAAGGGAACAGCTGCCACAGAACTGCGTCAGTACAAATGAAGGTGAAGAAAAGCAGGACAGTTGTTTCCCCTGTGATCTGACAGGGTTCACAGATGCATCAGCAGATGGCCTCGATGAAAAAGGGCCAACTGCAGAGGCAGACATGGAGAAAAGGGAATGCAAGTCAGATTTTGGATGGAACATCTAATGACCAAGGAGATTCCTTCCTAGAACCTGATCCAGCCTGGGTCCCACCCCACACTACCCTGCAGTCGGGCAAAGACAACGTAAACCTTCGTTATCACCAAGTATTAATGAGAAGATTAATGTCAGAAATGACACTGGGAACATGTTAGTGTTTGCAGAGCAGACACAAAGAGCCAGTGTGCTGAGTTACAGCTCTGCAGAACAGTGTGAAGTAATGAACTCCACACAACAAAGGCTGTTTAAAAACAAAATGGAGACGGCTAGAAGGGAACTGGAGGAAAAACAAAGCAAAATGGGCCCTTTGTAGTAACTTCCATTACAAATGTGACATATTTTCATGGAAAGCATTCCCAAAACACTGCTAGGCCCAGTGCAAGGGGCTGGAGTTCTAATTGTCTTGCTAATGCAATGGAAATTGTGAGGAAACTGGAAGGAATGGTGAGGAATTTAAGCTGGAAGAGGGGAAACTGAGGTTGGAGATGAGGAGGGAATTCTGGAGTGTGAGGGTGGTGAGAGCCTGGCCCAGGTTGCCCAGGGAAGCTGTGGCTGCCCCTTCCCTGGCAGTGTTGAAGGGCAGGTTGGATGGGGCTTGGAGCAACCTGGGCTGGTGGGAGGTGTCCCTGCCCATGCAGGGGGTGGGACTGGATGATTTTTAAGCTCCCTTCCAACCCAAACCATTCCATGATTCTACTAGGTCTGTGCAGTTGGACATTGCTTTTCCAAGGAACTGTCAGACTGAGCAACCTTCCCAAGGTCACACATGAAAGTCTAGCAGACCAGACAGTGTGAAAAAGTCCCAGGCTAGGGCTCTAACCACAGTCCCATCCCTTCTTTGTTAGAGCAGCAAAATAAATCTTTGCACATGTATTAAATCATAATACAAAGTTTGGGGCCAAACTGTGAAGTGAACATTCAAGCTCCTAGTTCCTTATTCTGGCCACTAACAGACCACTTTGGTGAATGCTGATTCCCAGGAAAGCTGCAAATGATTTAAAGCCCTCGAGTCCAAGGAATAATTGCCTATTGTGTCTGCTGCAGTTAGTCCTTTCACGTTAAGAGGTATTTCACAAATGCAGCCCTCAGATGAGTGATCCCACCTCCGTGGCAGTTTTTCCCCACACAAAGGCAGCAACACATCACTCTTTCAAGAAAAAAAAGAGAGACAGAAAGAGACTGAGACAGAGATCATTAGCTTTGCTGCAGTCAGAAAACACCTTTGATGGCAAGATCACACGAAGGGAACACAAAGAAGCAGACAAAACTCATGAGGGAAGCCAGCTAAGGGTCCTTCATGGGGCCCAAACACAAGGAGCTGGATTTCTCTCTTCAACGTGGCCCTCAAAAGGAACAGAGCTGCTGTCTAACTAGCCTGGTGTACTCCTGCTAGGGAGACCTGCTCTGCTGTGCCACACTTCATCCCAGCTCTTCATTAAGGCCACTCGTAGGCCCTTTGAGTCTGTTCTCTTAAGCTTCTTACACAGATTATCAACAGGTAAGTAGCAGAGATCTTTTGAGAAGTACAGGCAACACCAGGAGTGTTTCCCAATCCAACAGGAATACAGATTCTCCATCTCTTCTCCACCCAGCACCAGGGAACACTTGGTTCACACCTACCTTGATCTGCCTGTGGATGATGTCTCTGGTGATGTTTGCTTTTGCCATCTTCTTGCAATGGGGCAGACAAAAAGGAGCTATTGGAAGAGCTGCTGTGGATCCAAGCATGCCAACAGAGCCACGGGCCTCACCAAGGGCATTTAATTACCTGCAGGAGAGAGGAGTGAGGGAACAAAGGCAAGCACATGAGCACATCAGGCCATTCCTTGCCATGAAGTATTGGCCACCTGATTTTTCTTTCTCCACTTACATGTTGCATTGTGGCTGTGAAAGGGGCAAGCATTGAAATGGGATCCAGAAAGGGTGTGGGGTTTCCATCCTTACATACAATCAGAACTTGACTGGATGAGATCCTGAACAAAATGACCTAATTGAACTTGTTTTGCACTAGGCTGTTTGGATTAGAGGCCTCCAAAGACCTCCTGCAGCCTGAACTATTCTTTGGAACTGCCACTTTGCATAATTTGCAAACAGTGCCCAGGGATAAAGTAAGGGCATTTATTCTCAGGAAGCTGGGGAGGGACTTGGGACAAGGGCAGGGAGGGAGAGGACAAGGGGGGATGGATTAAAAGTGGAAGAGGGAGACTGAGGTTGGACATGAGGAGGGAATTGTTGGGTGTGAGGGTGGTGAGAGCCTGGCCCAGGTTGCCCAGGGAAGCTGTGGCTGCCCCATCCCTGGCAGTGTTGAAGGGCAGGTTGGATGGGGCTTGGAGCAACCTGGGCTGGTGGGAGGTGTCCCTGCCCATGCAGGGGGTTGGAACCAGATGATCTTTAAGGTCCCTTCCAACCCAAACCAGCCTGGGATTCTATGATTTACAGACCCTAGGTCCTGTGCTGTCGCATTTTGATATTTCTACAGTTCTCTTAAAAACCCAAACAATTAAACCCCATTTTGTCCTATGTAACCTGACAGTTTGAAATCCTCTTCAAGAGCTTCTACCAGCAGAACAAGCCAAAATTTTCCAACAAGCCCTCTTTTGAATGAGGAAATGCTGATTCATTGAAACATGGACATTTCACAGAAATGCAGCAACAAATAACTTGGCTGAGGTCAGGCAGAAGATCTCACCAACTCTGCCTGATTCTCCACTACTTCATCCCTCAGGCTGTTGCAAAATGAGGGTTTCCACCGTGAGCCACATCAGGGCAGGGCAGCTCTACTACACCCCAGAACTCTGGGTTTCACCTTCACTTGCTCTCAAAACCTGTAAGTGTATTTCTCCATGGGCAGAAAGCACAAAAAAATCAGGTGTTCTCACAGGAAGTGGAGTTTGTCCAATGTGGAATTTCAGATGGCTTTCCTAACAGAGCTGGCTCCTCTGTGCAGCTCTGTGGTGGACACAAAAGTGTCCTTAGAGCTGCAGATGGGTAAGAAATGTCATCCAAACAAACTGAAATGTGGATTTTCTTGCAGTGGGTTCCTAGGGAGGATTTTTAGGGTAGCCATGGGTTCTCTCCAACACAACCCACAAGGAAGAGTTGAGAGAGTTGGGGTGTTCAGCCTGGAGAAGAGAAGGCTCCAGGGAGACCTCAGAGCACCTTCCGGGGCCTGAAGGGGCTCCAGGAAAGCTGGGGAGGGACTTGGGACAAGGGCAGGGAGGGAGAGGACAAGGGGGGATGGATTAAAACTGGAAGAGGGAGATTGAGGTTGGACATGAGGAGGAAATTGTTGAGTGTGAGGGTCTGAGACAGTTGGAGTGTTCAGCCTGGAGAAGAGAAGGCTCCAGGGAGACCTCAGAGCACCTTCCGGGGCCTGAAGGGGCTCCAGGAAAGCTGGGGAGGGACTTGGGACAAGGGCAGGGAGGGAGAGGACAAGGGGGAAGGGATGAAAACTGGCAGAGGGGAGATTGAGGTGAGACATGAGGAGGGAATTGTGGAGTGTGAGGGTGATGAGAGCCTGGCCCAGGTTGCCCAGGGAAGCTGTGGCTGCCCCATCCCTGGCAGTGTTGAAGGGCAGGTTGGATGGGGCTTGGAGCAACCTGGGCTGGTGGGAGGTGTCCCTGCCCATGCAGGGGGTTGGATCCTGATGATCTTTAATGTCCCTCCCAACCCAAACCATCCCATTGTATGAAGGACATAGGCTCCCGCAGCAAAGCCCCTTGGCAGCTGGGCAGGTTGATGGTGCTGACTCTGCAACTCAGAGGAAAACACAGGAAACCAGGACAGACCCATCACTACCTGTGCCCAAGGCCAGCTCTACAGACACGTGCTAGTTGGGATAAATAAGCTGGAAACCACGTGGATGTGGTTTCCAGACACTTTGCTCCTAAGCTCTGCAATCAGAGATGGGGATTGTTAACTCAAGCAGCTTCAAGTTTGGACAGACTAAACCTGCAGGATGAAGAGTAGCTGTGATCTCTCTCCTCCAGTTTCTCCAGACACCTTCCCAGCAAACAAGTCTCCACCTGCCCTTCTCCTAGGCTGCATCCCCATAGACTGCCCTTCTTAAACAAACCCTCCAGGACACAGGAGTGTTTTCTCCACCTGTAGCTGCAGTACAGCAGAGAGACCTTCCACAGCCCTGCAACACCTCAGCAGCTCAGTCCTTGGGTAAGGACAAACCCCACTACCTCCTCACCTCTGAGATTCTATCCTGATGCTCCGCTTCTCTTCCTCCTCCTCCACCCAGCCCTATGAAACACCTCCCACCCCACCTCACTTCTGTACAAAACTGTGACCAGTGACTGTTGACAGTCAAACAATTTTTGCAGAGCAGTGAACTATCCATTAATCCAAAGCACACCCTGGAGACACAAGAGGGACAACATTCCAGCAGATCTCTGTCTTGTCTGCAGCTTCCCACTCCTCTTAGTGCTTCCCTACAACATTCTCAGACTCTGTCTGCAGTGCCCCCTCTCCAAGCAGCACCTGGCTTATCCTTCCTCTTCCCTGTCTTGTCTTCCTCTTGAAGAGCAGTTTAGTTTTCTTCTGATCTTAGGACCCCATCCCATGCCAGGGCCGTGCAGGCAGTCACCTCCTGACTGGCAAATGTCCCACTGCTCTCTTTAAGACCCCTGGAAGTATTTTGGTTGGATTTCCTACCTCTAGTCATGGCTAATTTCTAAACAGGTCCTTTTTATTCAACTCCTGTCTAGCAAGAAGGCGCACACACAGAGAAATACATGTTCATGAGAAGATAGATCTCCTGCACTCTACAGACAGAAATAACCCACGCCAAGAAGTCAGGCCTAGTTGGGAGTATCCTGTTCAAGGGCAGGTTAGATGAGGCTTGGAGCCACCTGGGCTGGTGGGAGGTGTCCCTGCCCATGCAGGAGGGTTGCAACTAGATGATCTTCAAAGGTCCCTTCCAACCCAAACCATCTGATGATTCTATTAATAACTACAAACCCACTAACACACCAGAAATCCACACTTCGACTGTATGAGCAGGATGCTCAGAGGGAATGAACATCCAACTCCCTCCCAAACCTACCACTCCTTAAGAGTGACTGGAATTCCTTTGTTATCCAAGAGAATCTCCTCCACTACAGCATTTTACACCTTCTGGAACTCTGAAACACACTGCCAGGGGCAGCACAGCAATAGCCAGGAGCTTGCTGCCTCTGTGAGTGTTTTTAGGACTAATGGGTGGGTTGTGGAGCTTCCCAGCTGTTCCCAACTCTCTGGACAGGCCATTTTCAGCTGCAGCAACTCAGAGGCATTTCCAACAAATTGTGGCTCAGAAGGTTTCCAAAAAGGGATCCATTTGATTTCTTATAAGATCCAGAAAATCAAGAAAACCATCCACGAAATCAGCCCTTTCATCGACAAAGAAGAACAAGGCACAATTTAAAACAAAGCACCTTGAGGCAAAACTGACTTGAAACATCCTAACAGCATAACAGCAACATCCAAGGTTAAGGGGGCAAATTGTCCAGTGTCGCCTGGGATGCTGATCCAGGCTTTCTAGCATCTCACAATTAAAAATAAAGGGCAGGCTTGGAAAAAAAAGAAGCAGCCAAATGGGAATGCACAAGACCATGGTCTCTCTCTTGCCCAGACAGGACTTGGTTTGACAAATCATGTCAAGTGCTTAAAGACCTCCCAGGATGGATGTAAATGCTTGGCCAAGAAGACTCCAAGAGCCTTCCTTGCTTTCATGATGCCACTATTTGTTGCTCAACAGGTATTCAGCACAAAGAAATCACAGCTGCAAGGCTTTGGCAACCTAAAATTAGTGTGGAATCCCAAATAAGAAGTGCCAGATTCTCATTCCAGGTCAGATTGTGTCCATGAGCCACCAGTGGTCACAATCCCAGGTCACATTCACCATGGATGTTAACACTTTCCTAGTTCTTGAGTTAATCCATGTAAAGCTCCTACTATGAAAGAAGCACCAAGTTAAGAAACGCTAAAGATTATATTGACCAAACCACTGTGCATGGAAATCAACAGGCTCTAATGATGTCAGAAACCAACATTGGCATGAAGCATAAAACTCCCATAGCTTTGTAGACCTCCTGGAAATATATATATATGGATATATAAAGATATATATATATACATATATACACACACATATATAAAACAGAGAAGAATAAACTGCACCTCTGATTTCTTAGCTAAAGGCTTCCAAACATGAAGCCCCTTCCAAGAGTCTGTCCATTTGTTACTAAGTCAGTTGGTACAGGATGTTCCTCTTGCAGCAAAAACCTCTGGGGTTGTTTTTTTGTTTCAGCAAAACCACTGTGCAAATTCTCTTCTCTTTTAAGAGATATTGTTTCCTAAACCATTTGTGCAGTTCTTTGGCTTTCAGCTAAACCTGCACAACCAACTCTGGGTAAAATGAGAGGAACTGAATCCCAGTGACAAGGAACAATTTAGGATAGATCTGTACTGCTGATACCAGTGATGACCCTACAAGCACTTTGGCTACACCTAAGAGACCATCAGGACCCTCCTTGGTCATTTATTAGATGACACTGGAGTCCAGTGTCATAGACTCCCAGACTGGTTTTGGGTTGGAAGGGTGGGATCATCCAGTCCCACCCCCTGCATGGGCAGGGACACCTCCCACCAGCCCAGGCTGCTCCAAGCCCCATCCAACCTGCCCTTCAACACTGCCAGGGATGGGGCAGCCACAGCTTCCCTGGGCAACCTGGGCCAGGCTCTCACCACCCTCACACCCAACAATTTCCTCCTCATGTCCAACTTC